AGATTCCCTCCACAGGCAAGCAATAGATTTGTATGTTCTTGCATAACATTTGAATAAATTTGATCAACAAATAAGAATTGTAACAAACTCCTAGGGGATGAGGTTAAACATATTTAGTAACAATGGTATTTTTGAATTTTAATTGCCCATGACATGGGTTTGATCGAGCCAGAGATTCTGATTTGTAATGATTATATTATTTCAGGCAGAGCTAAAATTGCACAAGACACACAGCACAAACCAAAGCCTCATCTGAGCAGATACATTATGTATGAATATCAATCATCAAGCACAAGAAATTACAAGCTACTGGATTTTCTCTTTGTTAATACTTATTTTGTGTTGGTCGCTTGGAAATGCTAAAGGGGAACCTTGTTATCAGATCAGTCGCTGAGGAAAATTGCTTACTGGATTAAATTTCAACAAAGATAACTATAAACACAAAGTGCACAAAACAAAAGGTTTTATAGGTTACACTAACAATGCATTACAAAGATATACATCGCCAAACAAGAAATACAATACGTGATTAAATATTTGTATGAATGTTTTTGTTTCTGAACTTTTGCCGACCAGCAATATTTCATATTTTAATCAGAGTGCAACATATCGTACATGTGCAACATAAACTGCAACTCATTTACCCTTTGAATTTTGTTGGTGCATTTTCAAAATATTCTTGTAATTTCTCTTTAGACAAAAGATCCAAAGATTTAAAAAAGCAAGGATATATAGTAATGAATGACCATTACACTAGAAAGACATCAATCCAAATTCAACAATTTATACCAGTTTTCATTTTACAAGTTTTACTCAGATCAGTCCATCGATGCTCAGGGACAAGTACATACCTTTTGCTTTTCCAATCACTTTCCAGACTTGTAGCAATACAAAATGGCCAAGGAAAATACTTGTCACTGCATGAATCACAAAGTAACATTGTACTGGCAGATAAGGCTTTGAATGATTTGTTTGTATTTATAAATAATTACACACCAACAAGCCCAAATATTACCCACTGCTACATGTATGCAAATAGAGATAATGAATGGCATCTGCAATCTTCATTGCTAAAAATATTCTAATCAAATCACTATTTTTGGAGGTGATTTCACAGCAGTTCAATGTTCAATGGGCTCTATATCATGCTGTAACAGCTAGACAACCAAAATGACAACTAGGAACTGGGGCATATCTGGCCATCTAATAATGAAACAGAAGACAGTGGTGAATTTCATGTTGGAGAAAGAGAAAGATGAAGCAAACAAAATAGCCATCAAATAGTACATACAACCATCTTGAATCAAGGTTGACTACAATCCAAGAAACAGTTATTCGAACAATAGGGTTTGTTATGACCAAAATGGCCACCAGTCGTGCTATGCAAGGTTAGGGTATTTTAGAATTAAATCAATGTGCTTCATGTTAACTAACGAGTTTAGCCAAGCATGGTTCATTGCACTCAATAGGCTTCATCAGGAAAAGACATGGTCACCTTTTTTGCTGGTCCAAGAATCAGTAATGTACCTTAGGTTGACTGTTGAAAGATCTATATGGGTCCTAGTTCCTGGAAGCGGGGTCTGTAATCATGTATCTGACTTGGAAACAAACAAATATGCCAAGTTTGTGCCATGATAGCTTAGTCTGTATTGGCAAAATTCTAAATGCTGGAGAGCAGATTAAAATCCAGACAATTGTCTTCCCACACAGACTGACCAGACATTCCAGAAATACTAAGTAGAAGCAAAAAAGCACTGCACAGTCTAGTTGCAACAGCAATGTAGCTGTCTCTTATGCAATGTAATATTTGAGCCACACATGTTTGTCCTAGGTATAGAGAAGAATGACAAAGATGAAAAAACGATGTATTATGAAACGCCAACAAAGCATAACAATGAACAAGTTGCTTCAGTAAAAAGCTGATATCGACAGCAAATAAATTATAATAGTTATTTCTGTAATTTTCTGTAAAAACAGCAGAACCTAGCTTTGATTACCATGGCAGACTGTTTTTATTTTCTCTGGAAAACTGGATTCAAAGTTGAGTCCATGTATTATGGTCATGTTTTAAATGATCCATTACAATAAATGCAATTTTGGGTCTGTGTGCTGTGTGAAAGACAACACTCAGAAGCAGAAACTGTAAAATTTCATCAATTTATCTTTCAAATTTTATTTTTTTAAGGTGCAATAAACACAATTGCACCACTAACTGCATCATGGGCTTAATTTTTAAAGAGGCATCATGAATAGGACAGGCACTAAGCAAACTGTCCTGCAGAAAGAAGTCATACACAACCTCTCCCTGACAACATGCACACTTCCTCATGACAACTGACTGACCTACACAACCAACTAAAAATAATAGGGATTAATTTTAATAAAGATGATCACAGTTACCATGGTAACTTTAGTGCTAGCTACAACTACGGCCATTAATAACAAATATCATAAATATATGGGTCACAAAATTTATGAATATTATTGTATTGTATTGTACTATGGATTCACAGGACAATTGCCCAAATTATAATCTGTAACATTCTTTTGAACATCCAAAGGTTATTTTATATTCATATTATATTACTTCAAGGCAGTTTTACCAGAACTTGAACTTTGTACTCAGTATGCTATCTTGCCCCTTTTATAAAAAAAAAAAGCATTCATAATTAATACCATCAAATATTCCTATACATACATGTGTATATTGCAATCAACACCCAAACACAATTAATATTATTGTACACCATTATTACTAGGGATATTAAAATCATTATGTGAAAATTGAACATATGGTGGTAAAAAACGAATACAAAAATTCATAATTTCAAAATCTAATTTTATCTATTTCAGAATTCAAACAATACAAAAAATAAAATGAAATCCAGTAAATATAAAAAATACTAGAATTTTTATTACTAAACTGATATTGGTAACACAAATTTGACTATCAAAGGAAAGGTGAAAACAGCTAACAAACAATGGATTAAATGTACAGTACTCACTCAGGCTGAGAAACCTGTACGTAAACATACAAACAATAGACTTTATTGTTATTCAAATTACAATTAGTGAGTGCACAAGATTAACTGTTTCTCTTGTCACATGAGTACTTGTTACATTTATACTTAACTTTTATGATAATTTGTTGTAGTATTTTTTTCAATGTTACAATTAATTAATCTGGTCAACCATTCCAGTCATAACACCATGGGAGCAGCACACTTTTTAGTTTCACAATTGACAAAACAAAATACAACAGAATAGTATAATAAATTGTTTTATTAAATGGTCATCAAATAAGATCTTGGAAGCGAATTAGAGAGGTGTGTAACAAGGAGATAAGTATTATTAAATTTGAGAAAGGGATTCATTTGGAAAATCAGCATTTGTTTGAAGATTTTAATAACAAACTTCTAAATACTGATATTTTAACCTTTTGAGCATCATTTTGTTCACATTTTCTACAATTTTCATTGAATTCAATTTTAATTTCAGACCAAACAGACAAAATGTGATATTGCTCCTCATTTTTGATCAAAAAAATTGAAATTTTCGCCAGCATTTTCTGTGGAAAAGAGTCGACTATAAATAAAACTATTTTGTGGATGGTGCCTAAAGTTAATTTTGCAGCCCAGAGGGTTAAAGAAATGCAACAAAGAAGACATTTTTTTAAATATTTCTATTATTGATTGAAACTCGCATCAGCAGGTCCAACTACTGTGTTGTAACAGGTTCACCCAGGAATTTAAAGAGAACACCCACATGACATGGTAATAAATTGACAGAATTCCAACATATCATACAACTTTCTGAATGAGGTGAACTCTAGGAATTTATGTCAATTGATTACACTAAATAAATTTGAACCCTGTGTGTTGGTTGGATTTGCAACGCAAAGATAAACAGAAACACTGAAATCTGCAGTCTCACTATAGACGCAGTGATACGGTCCCCAGCGATCAATGAACGGCGAGTAACATAATAGGCATTATAGTGAATAGAAGGTGATTTACATAACAATAATGTCTCTATCACCTATCAATGGACCTTTGACATACCGACTGATTAATGTTTCATGGCTGGTTTATCAACATAACAATGGATGGGTGGGTTTATTTCAGGACCCTGCACAGTCAGTCTTTGTGAATGGAAACTCCGTCATACAAAGTATCCCAGGCTGGCAGTATGTGGGTGGGTGAACCAGATCATGAAATAAACCACATACTTGAGATTATGTAGTTGTCAGTCAAGTGAAATAACAAAATATGTGGTTCAAACCACTGACAATATGCTACGTGTTGAATCTTGTTGACCTAACCAGGTCATACTTCCCTTAAAACAGACTGTACTTTAGCAAATATATATGGTAGACGAGAAGTAGTGGACTGAGTAAGTGACATTTTAGGTTAGAGCATGTCTGTACATGCATTTGCAAAACCTCAAGGAATGCAGCTAGCCAGCCAGTGACCCATTAATACAATGGCTGTCAATGCTCCATTCATCTCTCCATTTAATATAGTGGGAAAATCATTTAAAGTACCAGCTGGTCATCCATTACATACTTCTCATGCTAATCTTGTTCATGGTGAAAATAATATGAACATAAATATTCTAAACAGGAAAATTATGCACAAACAATGGCAATGTCAAATGACTACACCCAAAATACATTTGATTGTTTTTTTTTACAAGCAAAGCTTTGGCTAACCAAAAATTCAAGTTTACATAAACTATTTAGATGAAGCAGGAGAAACTTTGAAAATAAAAATATTCTCAATTTTCAGTGGTTTCTGTTTCTAAAAAAACAATAAAAACAAAAAAGAAAACCTATCAAATTAAAATCCTTCCTATGACTATTAACTACTTCAATAATGAAATTGATAGAAAACACATAATTAATTGTTATTATAATTTGTCCTCAATGAAGTTTACAAGAAGAAAACCATCTACATGTGTACATAGTTACATAGGATTGTTTTGTAGTGGTGTGTACTTACCAGGTAAACTGGATGTATTGCTACTACTTTGAGAACAATTGTGCTTCAATGATCCCATCCCAGCTGTGGATGATGATGATGATGATGATGAAGTTGAATGAGTGGAGGACAATCTGGAGGGTGTAGTCATCAAACCTTGGCTACGATTAGCTGAAGGTTGCTGCACTGGATTAACTTCAGGTGATGATGTCATACTACAGTAGTTTGGGGCACACCAGGTATTGTTTGATGATTATTACCAAATCATACGACTATGCTGTTCATCAACTGCCATGGGTGACATGCATACACAACTTTTCTATAATGTTCAAATAAAATGGAATATTTGTCAGTGTTATATTTGATACCAGACTGGCTGGTGAGACTATCATATGCATGATATGTGATAGCAACAAATGTAGTTCGAATAAAAGTGCATACACATGCCAGGGGGTCAGTACTATTTTTATCGCTGACGTTCACATGATTGGCGCAATTTTAAATTCAGTGCATTATAAAAGGGAGTTTCGAAATTCAGTTGTAACCTATAAACATACTACAATCATTTATTTTATAAACTTCTGTACAAAAAAGACGCAATGTATTACAGTTATATATAATAATATTTAGTCGCTAAATCATTAAGTACTTTCTTTTGACAAAAGCTTTGCAAAGGGAACTCGACACCCTTTAAATAGTAATGTCCGCAAGACAGACCATGTGTTCTTTAAATTCAATTGAAAGTCGGAGGCTAGGTGTTGTCTTGACCTTTTTATTTACTATCTGTGAACAAATATCCATGACTCCGCAAATCAAAAGTTTAGTTGCCTTCATATTTTCGTTTGCGTTAAAATACATAGTTATGTTAGGTAAATATTGCGCATCGTGTAGTACCTGTCTGAAGTCGCAATCTTAGATCATGCGAGTCGAGAGTGGAATCATCTACATCGCTATAACGGGAGATAAAGTGAAGGTCAGTTTGTGACAGCGATCTAAAATGTAACTGTATATACTACACGAGAACTCAAGACTAACAACTTGGGTGAGACGCAGATGACAATGATTTCGGCACAGGTTATCCAATATCCGTTGTGAATGATATGTGTGTATAGGTATACATAGACGTTCACAGGGTATTTTTACATTTCGACCCTGTCGGTCAATTTTTTCTTGTGAGAGTCGAAAAATAGCACTGTTTGAAATCATTTTATCAAAATCTTACTTATATGAAGTATCTAAAGGTTACTTACCAACCCATATGGAGTGACACGATTTCTGAATGCACAAAATGGTGGCAAAATGAACACGAAATACGAGAGCTGATAGAACTCGCAACTGGAACGAAACTAAATGACGAGCTGCAGCCGGCTTATTTGCATAAAGTTCACACAGAACAGAGGTGTTCATTGGTTATAATGGAAAACGGCTCTAAGACAGTCCAATGCTCGTATGCGTTATAAAATACTGAATGCGGAAGTTGATTCAGAACAAACCATTCTATTATGGGGATATCGTTCTTGTTTGTGCTGTAGGGTCAATGTGATGACTTGTTCAACCATAGAAGTATAAATGGTTTATGGTTCAACCCGACAACAACATTGGTACGTGGCCCTGGGTACGAAATATGGACACGGTGTATGGAAACTGTTTACTATTTATACCATTTAAATGCACATGGACGCATAAATATAACTCCCATACAATATAATAGCGGTATTGGGCAAGGGGATGGTCTAATATTAACATTAATGACACAAAACAGCGTATATAACACTTCTTCAAAATCACTTTTTTTGTCTGCTGTATGCTTATGATCTCATATCTCTTTCGGGGTCGAACACATTAAATATTTAATAAACACGCCATTAAATATTTGGAATCGTGCTAAGGTAGTGGAGTTTGGATATCTAAACAAAATCTAAAGTCATGATATTAAATAAGTCTGACAAAGTGTTAACACAATTCAAAATTAAAATTAATGGTTTTCGATTAGAGAATGTACCATCTTTCATTTATTTAAATAACTAATACCGCTAGAGGATCTCACACTGAGAACCATGGAATGAAAAAACTCCGCTTCGTGTAATGCGGCATTCCTGTCAAAACTTCATCTTAAAATGTTCTACTCCAAAAGGCAGTCTCTTGTAGTGACTCAGTTTGCCGTTCAACACAATTTGAGTCACATGCTCCCAATTGAGAAGTTAGAATCCAAACACTGATCCAGATATACAGTACCAAGACAAGTCTGGGGACATACTCAAAGGCTAATAATATATTATGTGATTGTTTTCACGAACCATAGACACTAAAAGACTTGAACTTCGCAAAATATCAGGGTTTACGGTTTCAAATCCGAATGACAATAATACTGAAAATTTGTTTACTGGCATAAACAATTTCATTTTCATAAACATATGTATGGGATCAGAGCAGGTGAACGATAACAACAAATAAACTACGCCTAGGAGTGCAGAAATAAACAATTAGGGTACGTGTTTCTAGCAGTTTATCAGAGCTTCTACCAAGCTGTACTGCTGTACGAGTGGTAATGTGTTAATTTGCATATTAAGCCACGACACAGGCGTTATATAATGCAAAACCCATGTCTTTAAAACAGTCTTTGGTCTAGAACAATATTAAGAAATGAAAAGAAACCTGATCATATAACCCCCAAGGCAAAACTGTTACACGTGTACTTAGAATTACAGAGAACAACGAAACATATTGATATCAAAAGAGAATATGTCATAATACAAATTAATTAGAAGACGAGGAGCATTTTCCAATCAGATTCAAATAAGATGACAAACATGATGACAACAATTATTCAATAAAACAAATCTGCCAATTACTACAACCGGACATGATAAGCTAGTCAGGAAATCGGTAAATTCATTATTTAATTAACTGCATCAAATAAAAGGAAAATAAGATAAAATGCAAACAACCAGCTGCCTCATAAACAAAAATTAGCTTATTTTCATCATAAAAAGTTATTTATTTATTGTTATTATTTTAATATATTTATGGTTCCCGTGTAATATTTTCACTCTGGGGTTAAGACTTCTGCTATTAGTATTAGGTATCGAGCATTAGAAACTCGTGAGTAGAAACGCTATTTTTTTCCCATTCACAGATTTCAGCCTGATTCTTCTTTCCGAAATGAAGTTACTGTAGAATATTGTTTTCTTCCATTGTTGATAATTTTATCCGTGTTCTTCTGTTAATTACTACGATGCATACTGAGTACAGTATATCGTAATTTGAGTGTGCTAATAAAGTTAGGTTATATAGGATTTCACGCAAAGCATTATTGGAAATCATTGACACGGTCGACGTGTGAGTGGGCGTACCCTTTGTGTAGAATTGATGAGATATACACGTAAATACCATATATACCCCTGGGTATCTACCCAGTCGCGTTACAATGTGATACTCAGCTACCTTTTTATGGTTCGTCTAGTTTGATTCATTGATTGATAGATTGATCAACCAGGTCACATTTAATGTAGCATGGTTGTCTAAGCAATCTTTAGACATGATTTGTTATCGAAGCGAAGTGCTTAGAACAAATCTGTATTATTTTACTGATATGGCATCCTGTTTTTTTATGTTTCCAGATAATATTCATATTGTTCTGATGTCATTTACGAAATGACCAATTATCATGAAATGTGGTGGCATGGTTGCTATATTATTTGCGCTATAATTCAAATGGGGTTAATAGGATGTAATGTTTGTTTTATAGTAGATACAACAGACCAACCGTTAGTAATCGAGTTATAACATTAACCAACGTACATTCAATTGTAATATTCCTAGTACATACGAATTTACTTAAATCACTTGACATTTAGATATAAATATATGGATTATCCTGTTACGGATAAATAGTTAAATATGCAGTATGTTTGTAGTTAATTAATTATGCATATACATGATAATTTTTAGCAGATAACTGATTTATTTTCGACTTGAAATGTTAATAGTTGTGTTAAAGCACATATCCAGGGTTACTGTACAGAGAGATCAATTTAAATTTGTATATATTTCGTATGTTTGGTCGTCACTTAGTTTGTACTAAATGTAGGCCTCTCCCATACGTGAACACAACTGAGTCTAGTCGATATGCAAACATATGGGATTAGCTTTGATCTCAGCCCGTACTAGTGTGCAGCCTGAACAAAAATAATTGCTATAACCCTGGCAGCTATTTGATTTGAAATCTGAGAACACGTATCAACGTGTATTTTTTCAGAAGTAACGTCGCCAGAACTATATGCACAATATGAAACACATGATGCTCCCAGAAAGAAAATAGTTTTATCCCGACGCCCATGTTCCACTGAAATACATGCAAATGTCTGCGTGCGTACTGTTTGTTACTGTTTTTCCAGATGTATGTTATAACATGCTGCACATTTTCGCTACATATAATTACGTGCAGTCTGGGCTAATTTCGCCAGGCGGTGTTTGGATCCCCCGAACTTGTGACACCATCTGAACGAAATCGTGACGTTTTACCACTGTGTCCGTGGTAATTGTTTTTTTTTTATGTAGAACGTGAACACTATAGCAATCTGTTGTCGTTTGTTTTGTTTTTGAGTGAATTGTCGCTGGTATCGGATTTTTGTTATTGTGAGCATTACGTCGATGTAAAACTTAACGGTAACTGCAATTGTATATAGGTGCGTGGTCACATATAAATCCCTTTCATGACAATTGATAGATGACAGTGCTTGTATTTTAAGCTATTTTTTTTTTTTGAAAACGATTCAATAAGATACGCAAACTACCAAATCTTATTTTTAATGTGATTTTAGTATAACACAGAATGAGTACTTAGTTGGGTCAACATGTATAAAATATGCATGGGTCGCGGGAAACTTTGTCGACCAATGTATAAAGCGAGTGTGGATCGCAGGAACAAGGTATTTTCATGTCAGAAAGGGGCTCTGGGGTGCGGGGACACTGAACATTACATGTTCAAGCATAAACACAAACATGATGGATCACAATTATATGTCATCACGTAATCAAGTTGATTAATGGTAGAAATACAAGAAGCAGCACTAAGAAGATCCGGCTTGGCATCTCCCAGACTAACAATACACAGACACTATGTCAAGGAGTCACTCAAAGGTCACAGGATGGGAAATATGACATGTATATTTCTCTGATTTCAAAGGAACTATCTGGGTCTATATGTAACGATTTGTTGTCATTTTTGTATTCTGGGAATAGTTGAAAACAACTATTCACATTTTTTTTCTAAATATGTTTTAATTAATGTTATTTTTCATATATATTCAATTTTGCAACTTATTTGTTTGTTTGTTTTGAAAACCGACATCCCGCAGAGCAAAAGTAAACATAACATAAATATAGAATAAGACGTAATACAAAAATATCGAAAAATACTAATATAGTACCAAATAATTTTTAAAAGATAGGCAATCATTAAATCACAATTGTAAATTCAATTATCTTTAATATTTTTAGGTGTCATACTATTCTTTGAAGAAAAGGTCGCTCCAAACTCTCATATAGTAGAAAATAGGTACTAGTATATCATGGAGAATAGGCAGGGGTTACTGAAAGGTCACAAGATGTAACATATAGCAAACAAGCCGGTGGCGGCGCACTTAACCTGTTCGTCAGTAGAACGATTGTAGAAATGGTCATGAGAAATGGTCATTCCCGAGTCCGAGAGTTGAAACAGTACTTTTTTTAACAAGATACCAGGAATCATATAATTGTTGGAATTATGGTTGGTTGGCTTGAAAATAGTAATTTATTAATTATTTTAAAAAATAGTAATAATATTTTATTACTTTAACTTGTTCAACGCCTGTCGTAAAAAAACACACACTATGCACGCGTTCCTTTTTGTGTATTCAGCCGAGTCCCGTACTTCGCAAGCCAAATATCGCCGCCTACGTTTTCATAGTAACATGTTGTTTTTTTCTCCGATGAATGCGCAGATGAAGTGTGTCGTCTGTTGAACCATAGACCCTCTAAAAAGAGTCTATGGTTGAACGATGTGAATATTACATGACTTGTCTCACCCGGGGATATCTGACCCATATATACTTCGAAGGTAGTATGAATTGAGGGGGTGGGTCTACAAACATACACACACAATGGTGAGTTATCGTGTACATACTAGTATATATTTACTCCGGATATTAACATCTCGTCACTCGTTATCGAAGTACCCTGGACAATTAAAATATCGTACTTGCTATACAGTTTAGAGAATTTCTTGTATTTTGGAAAGATTTTATATAGTCATGCTATTGTTTGATTGATTGGAGTAGGGATCAATATATAGCTTTGTATGGTTCAGTAAATAGTTTAGATTGAAACATTAGTTTAGAAAATCAATACCAAAAACCTACCGGTACGGTATACAGCATCCTTAATCAAACGAAAATGGCACTTCGAAAAGTTATATGTTACGAGGCTACCATTAATTTATGAATTCGTCATATTCCGTGTCTGTTGCTACGTGGTTTTATTTTATGCTGTTGTTCATAAAACTCAAATGAAAAATATGGTCAGTTTTGAGCAATTTACCATTGTTCCCATGGTAACAAAGTCTAATGCTTCACAATTATTTTCAGTGATCATATGAGGTTATATGATGGGCAAGTATATTATTAGAACATTATGACGAATAATATCATGTCTTATATAAATTCCTATGTGAATAGTCCTAAAATATAAAGTTTTGCATTTCTTTCTCTCCAGTAAATATAACTAGGTAAGTGCATGCACTAGGTAAGTTTGTATAAAATAAATGGAAATCATTGGAGACAATTGACGAGGAAAGTATACCGGAATTTGACAAAGTAAATAATAAATGTTAATTAAGTAATACTTCCAAATCTATTTCCAAAACTCTTCAGAAATTGTGTTGTTTTTTTTATAAAAAAATAGTGCACATACATTAGGACCATACTGTGTTGCACCGGATGTTGCATTGTTGAATAACATGTAATAATTTATTATATATGCCCACTTCATATATTTATATAGTTTTAGAGTTGAAATATCAGTTTGAAATAATGAGAAACAACGACAAAATACTGTAGCATGCGGGCGCCCACGAACAAGTCGCACAATGAAGTGTCAATTGCTTACAACCGGGTCACAGATCGCATGGCGTCCAACGAGGTTATGTATTGCCTCGTTTTCGGTGAATCTATCCTTTTGTAACCTGTACGCCATCTTTATTCCTTCGAGTTGGATACAGTCCCTCTTCAAATCCACTGTCATCCGCTCTTATAGAGCGTTTGGATTTTTTAAAAATCATCATGAAGATTCTTACGAAATTTCTTCTCGTGTTTTTGCTAGTTTTGCCGACCGCAGTGTTATTTACTAACCGTGGTAAGTATTCAAACCATACAGGGTCTCCAGTGAAATGTTCCATTGTTATACGGAAGCGCCTACGTGGAAAGTTTGCTTAACGCTATGTGCACCTTAATGTTATTGTACCGATCATATCCAGCCACCCACGGAATTTTCATCATATAGCAATATATATTTACTACGAATTTAAAAGATTTGTCATGCTTAACACGAAAGTCTCGAATCAAGACGCAGAGAATCAACAATATGTGATCTCGTCAAGCTTCCGGGATTGTACTACTACTTCCGGTTTTGCTGCCACGGTTGAACAATATTTTTCTTGCAGTGTATCCGTTAACGTTTTCACTCTCAAAAAACCCAAATGCATTGCAATATCGACAGCGGACCATAACAAGAGTACACTGTCGCAATTGATCATCACGAATGACCTTACGTTGATGTGTAATCATTGGTTACTTGAACTTTGTATATAATAAGTAGCACATGGTATCATCATCATGCATGTTTACTGCTCGGAATCGATTGATAATTTAATCAATTTAATGATAAATTGTTGAATTCTCTACATTTTTGCCAACCTCTCTGTCCACAAATTGCTTCATATTATAACATTTCTTTGTTTTCGCCATTGTGATATTTGTTTAAGTGCCTTGATGATAGTGGCATGATTTTTAAAGAGTTCAGTATATTATGCTGATCCATGCACCATTTATAACTCTCTACCATGTCTTTCTGCACAATAACGAAGTAATTTCCAATATTCACTAACCCCCATCACCAGAAATAATTATGTATACCATATGGTATGAAAATATTGTAGTGCAACAACCTTTGGTCCATATGGTGATAGTAACTAACTACAGATAATTGTTGGTTTGCTGCAGACAGCAGATTAGTTGCCAATGCTGAGGAAGATCCTGTTGAGGATTTAGTAGAGGGAGAAGAAGAGGAGGAAGAGGAAGAAGATGCAGATGTACAGGTAGAAGAGGATGAAGAAGGGGATGGTGATGAAGGAGATGCGCCTCCTGCTGAAACAGACGAGGAAGTGGAAGAAGAGGAAGAGGAGGAACCTTTGAAACCATCAGTAGATGCAGAGACAACAATTTTATTCACTCTTGGTTCTGAGCAAGGTAATTTGTTTTGTAATAGCAGACAAAATTTGGGTAAATTGTATCGTAGGGGCTCCTCCACTACTGTTTGCAAAGTCACTATTTTGTCATAAAATTCCAGCCTATCATATACAAGTAATACAGTAGAGCATTTAGCAACAATTATTTTTGTTCTACCACTTACCAATAAATTTAGTCTTTGGTGAATGTACAGAATGTTAAATTTGTAACATTTATCCATGCTACACAAAAGCAATGATTTCCAAGAAATGTTTACCCTTCTTAATTTTCTGATGGTCAATTTGGCATTCAGTTCAATTAAAGGATCAGATATCCTTAGACAACAAGAATCCCTCTAGTTTATCTTCCCCTAAATAGCAATCATAGTTATTCTTGAATTTGTTTACAGTGTCAACATACTCCACCCAATCTTGCAACTTGTTTCTCATTTTCACTACATGTGGTACAAAAGAATATTTTGCACATTGAGATGACAGCTTTGCTTGTCAAGTTAATATGCGTGACCTCCAGTTTGATGAATTCCAGAGAGCATCAGAGAAACATTACAAGAATTTTCAAGATTTTAAAAGAATTTAAAAACTTGTCAGTTTAGGATGCTGTAGTATTCTTTCATGAAACATCCCTAAGTCCAAGAATTGTATAAATCAAATATGGCAATATGGCAACATGGAAATAAAAATGCTTCAATTTAATGTATATATAATTTTGAGTTCACTGGTTTCTGCCAGTATAATTCCTCTTGCCAAGATTCATTAAAATACCACTTATGACCATAAAGACACCTACAAGCACATACACTAGTAACAAGGCAAATACAGCACTTGTGTGTTCTATCATAACATTCTTCATAATTTTAATGTTCCAGAGCTGCCGGCTGGTAAACTTATTCGTGTACTGGTAGGATTTTCCAACAAAGGTGATCAAGACTTCTACGTTGAAACAATGGACGCATCATTCCGGTACCCACAAGATTTCAGTTTCTACATTCAAAATGTAAGCATTCCTTGTGGAATGTGATTTCTCTATAGGAGTAATTACTGTCACAAGTGATGCATGTTGTAACAAATCAGCCTTGAGTCTTAGGCTTGACATGCTACTAGACTTGTCTGATATCTGTATTGGTAAAGTGAGATTAAATAAGGGGTTTGCAACCAGACAAATCTAGTGTGAAAAGGAGTTGTGCAGACAGCACACAATAACTATGTGAAAATCTGGTTACACCAAAGACTGACATTAAAAAACTTGGTACTCTTGTTTCCTCCAAAAGAAGCTTGTTAGATTAATTTACGTGCAATCAGAAATTAGAAATTGTGTAACCGAGAGCTTCATCGATCTGGCAAAATTGTACAGACTGTACACAAAGTGAATCATGGTATTCGTATATGGAGGTGATGAACTTTAACCTTTCATGATGACCAAAGTCATTCAAGCTGATGATTCTTTCTATCAGTTTACTGAGCAAATTTTAAGATCATGTATGAATTTTGCACAATTCTGCTTGCTATATACCTGTACTTGCATTTAAAAGTAAGGTATGTATGATATGTTGTGATCTAGGTATGATCGTTGGCGAAGTATGTGGCGAGACAATGGTGAATGTAATTCAAAAAAACATGCATATTTGTGTCAAGTTTTTATAATTCTGATATGCTTAAAATATTAGAGTGCAAACTACCGGTGGGTTGAAGGGCGATGGTTGTCATGCTGTGCATGTGTGACATTTGTGTTGATAAACCCACTAACATTTTGTGGAGAATATGCTGCATTTGTCATTCATCTGTATTTTACACAATTTTTTGCAAATATTTATTAAACGGTAGAAATTATAAGTTTTGAACCATATCTACTCCCATCCCATCCAATTCATCATTGAACTAAGCATTGTGTATTTTTTATTTTAGTTCACAACATTCAGATATGATGTAACTGTACAGCCAGAGAAACAGGCAACATTTGAATATGTATTTACTCCCAATGAAGCCTTTGCTGGACGTCCATTTGGACTGGTTTTAAATCTGAATTACAAAGATGCTGTAAGTATATCTGTATCCGCATTAGGGGCTCTTTTTATTATCTGTTAAATTTATTTGAAGCCGTTAACATATGTAGTAAAATGAGCCATGAATTAGAATCAGTAGTTTAGGCATACCTAAAATCCTAACATGCAACTCTACGCTCAAAACAACTAACCTAAAGTATGAAATTTAGAAAGTAAAGGACAGGACAACTTTAAAAGTAGGTGTTCATCAAACAATTCTCAGAGATGCTTCAAATTATGATTACCCGGTTATTAGGTGGGCCATATTAAAGAAACATCAGTTTCCAGTGCAATTCGATGGACTTGTTGATGCCCTAAGATGCTGAAAAGTAGATCACAGCCAAATCTACCGGTACATAAATAAAATATCAGATAATACAGATTTGAAGGCATTATACAGTGCTGGTGTCTTGTCTGTCAGCAGGTATTAGTTATTATTTGACATTCAAAATTAAAAAGAGAAAATGTTTGAATTTCATCAGCAACTGGAGTCAGTCTTGAATTGCTTATTTGATAATAAAAATAAAGTGAAATAAAATCTTGTATAAACCTTGTTGGTGCATGGTTTACATTATGACAGGGAGGCTTGTGTTCTAAGAGAAGTTGCTTTTTCATTCTAGTATGATGACATTGGCTGTTATTAATGTGTTGCATTTTTTATTTGCAGGAAGGTACAGTATTCCAGGATGCAGTGTACAATGAAACCATCAATATATTTGAAATTGATGAAGGTTTAGACACTGAAACGTATGTATGAAGTGAACGCATAATGATCTTTTTTTTATTGACTCCCATGTGCGAAGCACAAAATGGGAGTCTTTGCAGTTAGTGTGTCTGTATGTGTGTATGTGTGTATGTGTGTCCGACTGTTCCACTGCTATCTCAAGAACCATACATCGGTTTTTGATGAAACTTGGTGCATAGATGCTCTGGGCCAATGCGCAGATTTGATTAGGTTTTGGTAAAAATTCATGCTCGTTAATTACCTAATTTGCATGATAATTAGCTAATTTTTAGCTGTTCTATGACTGTTCCACTGATATCTAAAGAACCACTCATTGGATTTTGATGAAACTTGGTACATAGATGCTCTGAACATATGCGCAGATTTGATTAATTTTTGGTTAAAATCCGTGCATATTAATTACCTAATTTGCATGATAATTAGCTATTTTTTAGTGGTTCCATGACTGTTCCACTGATATCTAAACAACCACTCATTGGATTTTGATGAAACTTGGTACATAGATGCTCTGAACTAATGCTAGGTTTTGATTAGTTTTTGGTAATAATCCGTGGATACTAATTACCTAATTTGCATAATGATTAGTCAATTTTCGGTTTTTCCACTGATATCTCAAGTACTAATCATCACATTTCAATGAAACTTGGTACATAGATGTCATACGACACTGCA